GTAGAACCTAATTTAGTTGTTAATGTGTATCTTCTCTCTATTGAGCACCTCCTCTCCTCCATCGTGGCCGAAAATAGACACAAAAACCCAAATGTGGTAGCAAAACAAAAGTGCGCCAACACTAAGGCGAGAGAAATCAGTGAAAAGGAGAACAAATATACATAAAAAAAATAGATGATAGAATTAAAAGTTATTCCACGTACTATCCTAGTTGCCCCGCCAACTAAATAGCTACTTTCAAATCTTGTATAATAGACACTCTTCGAGCAAACAGATTCATCGTTATTATTCAATTGTACTTGTCTTTTGCATTCATGAAAACTGGAGACATTTAAAGAGATGAAAGGGGAAAAAAAGAAAAAAAAAAAGCAACGAAATTGTTACTGTAAAGCTCTTCCAATTTACTAAGAATTCGAAAAAATATAAATTTAGAATATTTAAAACGATATTCAAACCAATCAGACAGTGTCACGTCCTAATAAATTTGAACAAATTACACATATAAATTAGCTGCGGTAACAATTGATAATAAATAAAAACCGACCCAAAATTTTTTAATAGTTTTAAGAATTAATTTGAGTGAAAATTTTAAAGTAGAAACTAATTTAAGAAGTTACCAACTTATAATTGTAGCTTTGGTTCATCCATGTAGATTCCCCATTGGAGTGGGAATTTCTTGCCAGATTCTTTTCTTACAAAAAGATGCTGCCACCATTTGTGAAGAACAGCACAGTTTTCCATATCTATACTTTAACTTTATACAATATAAAATAATTCAATACATATAATTTTCAGAAGTATATAATAGTAGTAGTATTTTTGTTGACTGATCATATGTAAATTTTGACCAGTCAACAATTTTGACTGATCCCCATATGATGTGCCAACGGTCCCATCGGGTCCCATCCCACCACAATGTTTGGACCCCCCCCGGTGTTTGCTGCTCGGTCGTTGTCGTACCAATTTTTTTTTTTTTTTTTTTTTTTAAAAAACAAAAAATTACACAATTTATTTATTAATTATTCAAGCATAATATATAATTAATTATATATAATTCGTGTAATTAAATTTTGAAAAATTAAAATAAAGACAATAAAAATAATAAAATTTGTATGAAAATTGGAAAAAAAAAAAAACAAACAAAAAAAAAAACAAAATTCCAGGGGGGGATCCAAAGGATAAATATTTAGTGAGTGGAAGATCAATCATTGTTTGTTTATTATTTTCCTTCTGACAGATGATGACAGGTTAGAATTTTGGTTGGAGACATTGATTTTCCCGCCAAAAATCCAAAAATCTTGGTCCATAAATGATACATACATATATACATATACATATATATATATATATACATATATAGATACATAAATATGGACTTAAAAAAGATAAGGAGAACGGCTGTTCTGTGGTGGGTATTATATAATTTTCGCTATATGATATGAATTATCCGTTATTTTTTAAACTATAAATATTTTATCTTAATAATATTAAAATTCTTATATATAAATGTTGAATTTGAATATAAGAATTTGAAAAAATAAAAGGGCTCTTTTTTTTTTTTGGTGGTGGGTATTGGATAATTTTTGCTCTATTATTATTTAAATTAAAAATAATTTATCTTAATAATTTTAAAATTCTTATATATAAATTTAGAATTAAAAAATAAATAAAAGGGCTTTTTTTTTTGTGTGGTGGGTATTATATAATTTTTGCTATATGATATGATTAGTCTATTATTATTATTATTATTTAATATTAAAAATAATTATATTAATAATTTTATACGATCCCACAATTGAGTGGAATGCATGTGGATTTGGGAATTTGTTTTTTTGATTCTTTTTATAGGTTGATACACTAACATGTAAAAATCCTCTTTTGATGATGATTCAATTTGCTTGATCTTGATCATTGGAATTTTAAATTAATTAATTAATTAATTTTAAAGAATGAATCTTGGCATATGATACCACTGCAAAAAAAAGTTAATTAATTAATAATTAATAATTAATTAATTAATTAAGAAATGTTGTTATACCAACTCATGCACATAATGCGACTAAAAGCTATAACCCGAACAATGTATTTCCCATGTGACATAAACTTTATATTATATTTTTATTTCCCCTACACTTATATTTATACACTTAAAAAAATATATAACGAGATTGTTAGATTAATGTAGATTATTAGAAAAGTTGATTAATTAATTAACAAAAATAATATTTTTTTTTAAAAAAGGGAAAATTACAATGTGGGAGTGTTTACGTGTATATACATATACGTATGAGTGTATAAATAAAACGGAGAAGACGAAGGGTGAAGATCCTGTGTCGTTGTCAGAAGTGTCCCCTTGCCTGCCTTAACCATCATTAAAGAGTCCACATCATCAGAACCTTCAACAACAACAATCCCCCCCCAAATCAATCAATCAATCAATCAATCGACATTCTCCCATCTCATCTTTAAATTTGGGCCCCACAACAAAACGACAAATTTCGTATGTACGCACAACGTAAAACGCACCCTTTCCCAACACCCAAATCTCTATCCTCAGCTCCTCCCCCTATTTTTCTTACCAAAAATTAAGTAGAAACAAATTTAGTTAAATATTGTAAAAATTTACTGCTAAATTTCTATAAAGAAATAATTATTATCGTGTTTATATAATTTTAATCTTAAGTTGCAATAATTAATTCTTGATTGATTTATTTATTTATTTAAAAAATTAATAATAATTTAAGCACTCAGTTGATAATTAAAATTTTCTCAATTATTTTCCGTAGTAAATTCAACAGTTAAAAAATTTTCTCTGGTAAAATTTGGATTGTTCTAAATTGTACTTGTTAATTAAGGAAAGGACAAAGGATCGCAGAGTTTTTGCCGAGGAATAATCCGGGAAAAAGAAGAAGACAGAGCAGACGAGGAGGGGGGGGGGTATGCTATGCTGCGCAGTAGTGGAGCTTGTGGTGGGACCTACACGGAGGGGCAAAAGTGGGGCCCACGCTAATTGTTGCATCCACGCGAGAGTGGGACCCACCTTGTCTCTCTCTCTTTCTCAGCAAACGGAACTGGAATTTTCTGATGAAAGCTTTCTCTGCGTGCAAGCCAATCACATCGATAATCTAGTACGGTAAGTCATCATTACAACTTATATATATATATATTTAAAATGTAAATTAAATATGAAAAATGTTATAATAAATTCAAAATTCACAAATATTAAATATTAATTTTTTAATTATTTTTTTTTTAAAAAAATGACAATCTAATTACTTACAGTCGATATTATTATATCTAACTTACAGTGTCCCAATTCACATAAGCCTCTCCACCTAAGCACTCTCCATCACTCGTTTTGCTTTATATATTTAGAGTGATGTACACATTTTCTCTTCACTCTGCATGACCCTCCCTAAATTCTTCTCCCTCTCTCTCTCTCTCTCTCTATATATATATATATCTCTCTCTTTCAACACTGTACTCTCTCTGCTTGCTGGGTTTCTCTCATTCTACACACCCATACATACACAGATACGTACAGATACATCTATCTAATTCACTTGGAGGAGGGAAGAAGTGGGTGATCACCGATTTGCTTGTTTTCTTGAGCGGTTCATGGATCCTTCAAGTGCACAACACCAGGTAGGGCATATACACACACACACACGCACGCACGCACAAACACAACATCTGCATAATTTTTTTATATATGTGTGTATGAGATGACAGAACCCAAATCTCCTATTTTTGTTGTCGTTTTGGGTTATACTTTACCTTGTTTGATTTCCTTTTCTATACTCTTTTATGGCATATTTTTTTTTTCTTTTTTTTTTTCTCCCTTTCCTTTGTTGTCTAGTGATGGTCTTTAAGCTGTTTTAATGGAGTTTTCTGGTTGGTCCTACTATATATACTTATGTACAATTTGATTTAATTATAAGTTATTCTCTTTCAAGGGGTTGAGATCAAAGAGAGAGAAATTTGAGAGTTTCAATTTTCTGCCTTTTTTTGGAATGAGTTTCTTTTCTGTTCTTCAAATTTTCATGTTTTCTTGCTGTGTTCAGTTAAATATATATGTACACATGTGTATGTAGATACATAGAGCTTGAACTGTTTTCCAGAGAGAAAAGTTTTGTTTTTGATTCCTATCATTTCTTTCTTACCCTTATTATAATAGTTGCGAACATCATCGCACAAGGGTTTTGATAATTCTCTCAAGAATCCTCTTTGAATCATGAAATTTTTCCCCTACTGTTTGTTTCTCAAGAAAATGAAGGAAAACAAAAGAGAAAATCCCCGATTTTAACACTTTCAATCAACATAATTTTTTTCCCTTTCTCCCTCTATTTCTAACTCCAAAATCAAAACTTATACACTGAAAAATTAACTCAAAGGAAAGCAAAAATGAACTTTCCTTCATGACCTAAAAATGAAGATAGCATTTACACCCACATATATACAATAACAGTATTGCAAATCATTTATGAATTTCAAGCTAAAATCCTTTCTTTTTTCATAAAAACAAAAATGGGTAGTCTTGAATTTTGCTTCAAATGAAAATCTTCTATATAGAAAGCTCAAATTTCAAGCTAAAATCTTTTCTTTTTTCATAAAAGCAAAAATGAGTATTCTTGAATTTTGTTTAAAATGAAAATCTTCTGTACAGAGAGCTCAAATTTCAAGCTAAGATCTTTATGCGCATATATATGTGTGTATATATATATATATATACTGAATTATACTGTGATGTTAATTTTACAGGAGATGGGGAGCCAATCACTGGAGAACATGCTTGTATGTTCAAAGTCCCAGCAAGAAAGAAAGCCAAGGCCTCAGCCAGAACAAGCCCTAAAGTGCCCTAGATGTGACTCCACCAACACCAAATTCTGCTACTACAATAACTACAGTCTTTCTCAGCCCAGGTACTTCTGCAAGTCCTGTAGAAGGTACTGGACTAAAGGAGGAACTTTGAGGAATGTTCCGGTGGGTGGAGGGTGCAGGAAGAACAAAAGACCTTCATCATCATCATCATCATCAGCATCATCAGCATCATCAAAAAGTAGGACCCATATTGATCAGCTACAACCACTCACACCCAACAACATTAACCCATCTTCCCTCATCACTAGTTTACCAGCAGCCTTGGGTTATGATGATCATCATAATCACTCAAATGATCTCTCACTTGCTTTTGCAAGGCTCCAGAAACAGGCTATCGGACAGTTAGGGTTTGATCATGATCATCATCATCATCATCCTCATCCTCATCAGCATCAGCAGCAGCTTTCTATTTTGGGAAATCTTGGTAACCCAGATGGGATTCTTGGTAACCTTGGGATTAATGCACCAGCTTCTGAGCATCCGGGTGTGTTTCTTACTGGGTTTTTAGGTTCCCAAAACCCTAATTTGCAGAATTCTTATTACGGATTTGGGAATGGGAACACTGAAGATCATCAAATGGAAAACAACAATCCTTCAAACGGCGTCGCTGGCCACGGAGATCATCATCATCATCATCAAATGGTTTTTCCTTACGATCGGGAAATGACCAATGCTACAACGACAGCGGTCACCGTGACAACAATGAAGCAAGAGTTCTGCAACGGAAGAGACCACGATGATCACGATCAGATCAACGGTAACAGATCATCACAAGTGTTATGGGGATTTCCATGGCAGATCAATGGAGATTCCAACATGGGATCAGCTCATCATGATCTTGATAATCCGGGAAGAGAAAGCTGGACGGGACTGAATTCATCTTGGCATGGTCTCCTCAATAGCCCTCTAATGTAGTAGTTATTAGTGTAGATGTACTTTTAGGAGAGTGTTTTTTTTTTCTTCTTTTTTTTCCTTAATTTCTTTTTCTTTCTCTTGTTTGTTTGGCAAGAAAGAAAATATGAAATCACATAGAAAATTTAGTCTGATCAGTTTTTTTTTTTTTTTTTTGTACTATTAGAAAATGGATTTGATTTTCATTGATCATCATCAAAGTCATCATCACCTGAATCATCTCTATTTTCCCATTTGTTCTCTTACACCCATACATACATACATAGATACATACATACATACATACATACATATATATATATAATATTCTAAGATTTGTTCGGTAACCCAAGTAAGGAACTTGCAGAATGATAATATTAATAATAATAATAGTAATATAATTAAGAAATTAATTAATTAAAATTAGAGAATGATCGGTGAGAGTGATGTTTCATAGTTTTGTACAGGTCTGAACTGAACTGATTTCTGTTGTATTATTAAAAGGAGGTGCTGAATAGGTTGTGTTTTCAAGATATTCTTTCATCATTGCTTCTTATTTTCAGGTAGATTTTTACCAATATAATATTAGATTTTTTGTTTTTGTTGTTTACTTCTTTTTGTTATTTAATAAAAAAAATTAACATAATAAACCCATAATTAATTAATTAATTAATTTGGGATTAAAATTTTATCGATATTATTGCTATTATTTGTTTAAATAAATGATTAAAAACATGTTAAAATTGAAAATCAAACAAATCAAAATTAAGATATCTACTAATAGATAATTAGATTAAACTAATTAATTAATTAATTTCATTGAGGCATGAACACCAATTACGGGATAGATTTTCTTATTCCAACAAAACCAAATCTAATTCAAGATTTGGGCGTGAGAAAAATTTAGTGTACTATAAATTAATTTTTAGTCAAATTCTGTTCATATACATATACATATATATATATTTAAAAATTCCACTTATTATAATTATAAATATATATATGTATATATAATCTGTCAGGGAATAAACTTTTTATTAAAAAAATAAGTTTGGAAATTTGAGAAGATATTTGCCTGTTTTGGTCAATGTATATTTATTGATTAATAGTATTTTGGGATACCAAGTCTGTAATGTGTGTTTATGTGTGTGTATATATATATATATATGTATGTATATATTTATATAATATTTGAGATTTAAGACCCACTTACAAATTTGAACACTTCTTTTGAAAACATATGACTTTTGGCAGTTGGCTGCTGTATATATATATTTATATATGTATATATATATATATATATATAGGATGTTTGACAAATTCAGAAGCTTTACTCTAAATGAAAGTTTATTCCGTATCTGGGCTGCAGTGAGATACGGCCTCAAGTGACTAAATAAAAATTAATTATTTAACTCCAAAAAAAAATACGAGTTTTAATTAATTATAATTAATTATTCACAACTCTGACCATCTCCGTCAATAATTCTCAACTACTTCAGCATACATATATATTTATATACATACATAATACGTGTGTGTATGTA